CGCACAAACTTGGATTCGTCATCGTCCCCAACCACACACCCGCACTGCACAAGCTGCTCCCAAGCTTGATAGAACTCCTCTGCAATGGATTTGACTTTTCCCATGGCCAACTGAGGGATATGATTCCATTCTTTTTGCAGCCTATGAAGAAGATTGCTGAAGTGCGCCAGAGGTTGTCGAGTGGCATTCATAATTTTCAACACGCGCCACCATAGCCCATCCTTGACACATTCAAGGCTGCGTCTTCGCCATCTTCCCATACGTTCGGAGTATTCCTTGCAAGCCTCAATCGCAATGTCATTGATTGAAGGTTGACGATTCTTGGAGTCAGAGCTAGCATCCTTCTTCATTTTCCGGGTGAGGACTTCTGTCAAAATAGGCGCAAGCCTCTCCTGGCCACACTGCAGAAATCGCTGTTCTGCTCGTTCACAACCAGACCAGCGGCCGCTGCAAGCCTTTGGAAACAATGACTTGACGGATTTCTTGGAAGACTCCGGTCCATGTACAGCTGTCCAAGTTGCATACAAGTCTTGACTCACATCCCGCAAAACATTGGCTGTGGTTGCCAGACTGGAGTAGTAGGTCCACTCACGAATTCCTTTCAAATTTTGATCCGCCGTCTTCAATGCAGAAAGTGATACCAAGTGCTGAGAATGTTCTAGGCAGGTGCACTCGAAGAAAACAACGTTTGCAAGGTCACGTGTATCCGCCCGAATGATTTTGCGAGCTCCCATTTCGTTTGAACCTGCATCCGTCGTAGCTGTGTAAAAGTGAATGGTGTTCTTCCTGGCGCCAACGACGACGACAAAGACCGAACGTGTGAGGTGTTTTGTCAGCATGTCAGCCGTGTCAGCCAACCAACCGTCGAACCGTAGACCGTAGACTCATAGACTCATAGTGTCAGACTATGTACGACTATGTATAGATTAATATTAAAACAAAGCAACATACGAATACGATAAACTTATAGATTGATGGGTTTTTAGTGATCAGAATTAGTCTCAGTGATAGTGATCAATAGTTGTAAGATGCATGATTCATGTAAGGTGTTTTTGCATTTGTGCCATTTGTGGTGCCTACGCTTTGATATTTTTGTTTGTTCGTGGTTTACTAATGGACTAAGGGACAATGAACGGCCAGAGCCACAGGCAAAGCCGAAACTCCACAGACAGACTGACAACTGACTACGACTATGGCTCCAACTATGACTCTAATTATGACTCTGACCATCGCTATCGCTGGGTCGTGGGTCGCCGCGTCGCCGACTTTTGCCAAGTTGATTCTGATGTTGATGTTGAGTTTGCCCTTGGATGACTCTCCTGAGGATGACCTATCCTGAGGCTGCTTGCTGGCTACCTTGCTTGCTTGCCTGCCCACCTGCGTGCAATATGCGACGGATATGTTGCAATGCCACAATGCCACAGCAGCCATTGCTTGCCAAACTGACAGTTACAGTTACCAGTACCAGTTACAGACCTAAACAGAATACAGACTCAGACCGCTAGACTCCGCTAGACAAAGTCAGACTCAAGGGATAAAGGTAAGGGTAAAAGGGTAAAAGTAAAAGTTGTAAGAGCGCTAGCAACGACCAGGGATAGGAATAGTTTTCCAATAGTCCAATAGTCCACATGAGTGACATGAGATAAGGTATGATAAGGTATGATAAGGAACCTGAACCTGCCGCCCAAGAAAAAGCACATGCAGTCTTTCTGAAACAAGCCACCTCTGCAAATCTGGGTCACCCTGAACGGATTTCCATGTCCGGCAGCCCAAGCTTTCAAGTTGCTTGATGGTTTGGGCAACTGTAGCTTCTGAAGTTCCACTGCGAACTGGGAGAATGTCAGCCACCCGGACAATGTGCTCAAACCAGTTCTCAAACTCCCAATTGGTCCAATCCACATCTGTCAGCTCCGGCTCCGACTGGGACCCACAGTCAGTGTCCCGAAAGAATGCGCTGTGCAAGATTAACCCCGCGAGCTTAGAGTTCTTGAGAATACCGCTATTTGTTGCATCTTGCTTGTAGCAGTGGATTGCCAAAGAAAAGTCCTCAGGGAAGGATGTAACCTCTGAATAGATCCAGTCATGCCACATGCGGCTTGAAGCAACCAATGCATTGCCAGCCCTGCATTCTGCTCGTACCACTGTGAACCGAGACAGATCTTGCAACAGTACAGCTCCTATATCCGAAGTGGAGATGTTCGACAAGTTTCGCCGAATTGCCAATGCGAAAGAACCTTGCAAAGAAAGCTGCTTACCACCTTTGGAACGACGAATTTCCAAACAAGCTTCGTCATTGTCTTCTGCAGATTTGTTCTTGCTTTTCAGTTCAATTCGCAGATCGTCACGCTGCTTCTTGACTCGTCCAAGCTGTGTCTTTAGGGCTCGATTCTCCCGTAGAATACGGTCCAATTTTTGGAGCCTCTTGTTTTTCCGCTTGTTCTCCTAAGCTCTAAAAGAGAGAGAGGGAGAAGAAACGATTGCCATCAAAGAAATTAAAGCGGATGCAACCTTTTGGTAACAATGTTTCACATTTTTGTCAGACCGGCAATTTCGAAGTGGTACCCAAATCCAGCATAAAGGAACAAAGATGCAAAGTACACTAGATTTGTTCCTTATGTTTGACGATTTGATTTGATGCATTGATGCATCGAGTGTGTGAGCGTGTGAGCGTGAATGGAACCAAATTCTACCAGTGTCACAAGAATCACGTCTTGAACTTTGAACCGGTCACCATATTCCTGATCTGTCATGATAGAATGACACTTGTTTGTTGAATAAGAAAGAAGCATAAACTTAGACAACAACAATTCACAGAAAAACAAAGCAAATAATCAATGAATCAAAGGCAATGAAGAATTAACCAGAACCTTTGCCCAAAGAGCGCAGTAAGCAGTAAGCAAGTAATAATAAAACTGCAATATACTAGTACACTAGCAGACTAGCTCAGTAGATATTGCAGCAGCCAGGGTCACACCCACGACCCACACCCAACCCTGCAAGAAGGAAAGATGGGAACACATTAAGACAACCAGGCGGCCATTTGCACCTGCTCCAACTGATTCTCCAAGTCTTTAATCCTCATGGCATCTCGCTCTGAAACTGAAGCTGCAGCTGACACTGACACTGAATCGCAAACACTGCTGCGAGGTGTAGAAGCAGCTGAAGCAGCACCACCAGCAAATTGCGAGGAAGAGGCGACCGAAAAAGAATCAGGCTCCAATCCGCATCCAACCTCAGCCTCAACCCATGAGTCAGTTCCTGACTCTGTGGCTTTTTCGGAATAGATTTTTTCTACAGCTTGGCTCAGCACCTTTCCCCACTCAGTGCGATCCAGCTGAATATTCAGAACTTGATCCAAGAATGCTGGAACAATTGACACATCAAAATAATTGCTCCGCGCCCGAAGCTTCCCAGCAAGGTCCGCTTGGAAGAACCAACCAGCTCGACGTTTGAGCACATACTCTAGTTTTGCAGCTGATGATGGGGCCCGGCTCCTGAGAAAATGACCCGGCTTGGCTTGGATTGCTATGTTATGTTATGTGGTTGTTTGGCCCAAAAGGCTTTTGATGTTCTGATTATTGAATCTGCGAAGAGTTGCTTTTAATGTTTTGTCCATTCTGATCCTAGTGTCAGTCAGGGTTGAAGTTCCTAGGTCCTAGATCCTGGAGATCACTGGAGATCCCAAATTGAGAGTCCTCAGAGTCAGAGTCCTAAAAGTCTTAGAGTCTTAGAGTCCAAAACTCCAAAAATAGAATTGAAGCTTCTGGGTCACTGGTTAACAGGCCAAGGGTCACTTCTGAATCAATGCCCAGGCCGATTAACCATTGCACATGACTCTCCTTTATGCACAAGCCACTTTCTGAGTCGCAAGGCAGCGCTACCAAGTGTAGCAGCTGGAGAATTTGGTACATGGCTCGCAGATTGGGCCCATACAATAGTGCAATTATCTTGTGCACAACTTAACATATAGTCGCATATTTTCACATTGATTGGACAACTTTACAACAAACATACAGAAGTGAGAATCTCCACTCTACCATGTGGAGAACTTCGGATTCTACTTCTGACTCTCAATAATGTAGATATATTTTTTTTCGCCCTTGAAATGCGACAACATGATTGTGTCTAAAGCAAGACACCGACCGGCCGGTACAAGTTCAAAAAACTTGCAACTCCTGACATGCATTCCTGCCAATCCACATTTTATTGATTTTTAAATCTGTGTCAGGGAAATCTGCATTCTAAAATCAAAATCATGAAAGGGAGCATCTTGAGAGGTCAGAGTGCAAAATAAGCGGTCCCAAATTCTCATTTCGGAGTGACCGTGCATTCTTGCTTAGAACACGGGCTTAACTCGATGGGTGTAGTGGTTTGGAAAAACTCAGAGCATCTACAACATATTCATTGCCAAAGACACATTGGTGTCCCCAGCTTCCAATCTCTGGGTAGCTCATGTTAACCACACGCTAAGGCAAAATAGGCGCCGGGAGGCAGAGGGTGGTCAACCTCCCGGCGCCAAATCTGACGCATGCATATAGTCCAAAACGCACGTCCCTATAACACGGACGCTATTAGGGCCTCCTGGCGTCGCTACTAGGAACAAAAAACTACTAGGAGCAAAGGGCATCGCTACTAGGCGCAAAGGGCATTGCTACTAGTAGCAAGGACAGGACGCTATCAGGGGCTCCTGGCATCGCTACTAGGAGCAAGAACTAGGAGCGAAGGGCATTGCTACTAGTAACAAGGACGCTATTAGGAGCTCCTGGCATCGTTACTAGGAACAAGAAGCTACTAGGAGCAAAGGG